GCTTTGCGGGTTATATGGTATAGTCTTTTGATGATCAATCCCCATCTTGCTAAAGAATTCCTTGAACCGGCTATTTACGAATTCTCTTTCATTATCCGATCGAACCTTCTTTACTTTGGCTCCTAATTCCTTTTCACATCTCCTAACATATTCCGTGAAATATTCATACGTTTCTGCCTTGTTTGCCATGGGGTAAACCTTAACATATTTGCTATATTCATCAACTATCACAAATAAATACCTGGATCCTCCTAGTGATTGTACTGGCATTGGCCCACATACATCAATATGTAGGAGTTCCAATGGACCCTTGGCCTGTGCGTGCCATACTCGTGCATGTGGCTGCTGGGTGAGTTTACCCATTGTGCACGGTTCACATAATTCCAACTTTTCTGGTTCAAAATCGAGGTGTCTGACTGAGCCATTAGACTTCATCTTGTCCAAAAACTCTTCGCATATATGCCCTAGCCGTTTATGCCAGCGCATTTTCCAGTTTTCTGATTTCTTCCTTTTTGCTTTTGAATCTTGTTCATTACTCAACAAACAACTATTTCCCGGTTTTGCCGTAAATACAAACATTCCATTTCTCTCTAGTATTTCACTTATCACCTCCCCTGACGAATCAACAACTGTGGCCATGCCATTTTCAAATATCACCTTGTTGCCTTCATTAATTAGTTTACTCACTGATAGTAGGTTGGCTCTTAAACGAGGTATATACAGCACATCCTTAATTCTTATTGTTTCCTCCTGCCCATTTATCCTTTTTACTATTCTTATATCTCCTATCGCTTCTGCTTCCAATGCTCTATCGGTCTCTGCTACATCTATGTTAGTCCGGTATTCCCTAATGTTTGTCATATTCTTGATATTTGGGGTCATGTGAGCAGTTGATCCAGAATCAAGTGTCCACTCTTCCATTTCGTTTTCTTTTCCCATCGTTAATATATAACTACCCTTTTCTCTCACCTGAAATGTACGCTCATTTCTTGGTGCAGTAGCTATATTCCCTTGTTCTCTTCTCATATTAAAAGTTCTACCTCTATAATTAGATCTACTATTATTTGAATTATTGTTGTTGTTTAAATATCGCGTGAGTCCGAGACGTAAAAACTCGGCCGCGATTCCCGTATTTATCATGAATTCGCGTAATTCTAGAAGGTTCTGCTGACGGAGAATTTCTTTCTTCGTTAGATTAGTATACCGCGGCTATTTTCGTGTTTTTGCTAGCTAGCTTCACTGGAATTCTCGATTCTGAGAACAAATTCCAGAAATCGTGTTGTTAGTGCCGAGAGAGAGAGAGAAATCGATTTATCGAATCGAGATCGACAGCCGAAACGCGGCAGCGCCGCATCGTGGCTAAGCAGCGCGTAGTCGCCCGGGCCCAGCAGCGTGTTTCGTCGCTATGCGGTTTTGCGCCTGCGCGACGGAACCCAGCCCCGGCCGTCGATGCTTGCAGATCGTCACGCTCCAGTACTGAGCCGTCGACGATCGAGAGCAGACCTGTTTACGATCTCGCTCCGTTTTCGTTCGAGCTCCGAAGAGTGTGAGCCAAGCTTCTTCTTCGAGTACTGAATCCGCGGATAGCAGCTAAATATTTATTGGAAAATCTCATCGTGTCGATTTAGATTTTCCCGAATAAAAGGACAATCGGCCTGTTGTCGAAGCGATCGCCGTGCACGCTACGTGTGACGCGATCGTAGACGCAGGATTGTGATTGAACGTTGCAGTTCGTTGTCACGACTACGACGTTGGGGATTCGGTGTCGTTAACATTGAGTCCTTTCCGTTATTGAAAGGTTGAACCTCTGGAAGGTTGATACCGACATACAGGTATCTCCTTAAAGTGCGTTCTCCTTTCACGGGATCGAGGAACCCACTCGAATCACCCGTCTGGTGTACCATATAGAGTGCACCGACCGGTGGAGTTGTGGTTTCGTCGACCCGTTGAAGCTATACGGTGTAAGAGCTGCCGGTAGGTAGATATCCAGGTACTGGTATCTCCTCGTGGTGCTCTCCGTGCATCGGGCTGCGGAGAACCCGCTCCAGTGATCCCGTCGTGAGGTGACGATCGTTTGAGCACAAGCGTACGGTGGAGCAAAGGGTTCGAAGAGCCTTCCTTCCGCCTCTACCCCCACTACCAGCTGTGTGAATCACACTGGGCTGTGACAGTAGGGTGGTTGGAGTTGCAGAGGGCTTCGTCTGATTCCGGCAGGCCGCAGGTCGCTCCTCGTTGCATAGGAGCCACTGTCGAGGTAGTCACGGCAGGCTGCCGGGCGGTCCTTTTGATAGGAACCGTTATCGAGGCAGCTGCGTGGGCAGGCCGCAGGTCGCTCCTGAGGAGCCGCCGTCGAGGTACCCAGAACAGTCAAAAAAGTCCTCTTGCGTCGGTGGCGTCCAGACGCCACCCGCACGGTGAGCGTGCTCGCGGGATATAGCCTCTTGGAGCCTTACAACCTCCATTTGGTTTCCCGTCCGTGGCATTGCGAAGTGAACCCGGTAGATCGGAGGAAAACCTCGTCTACTCGGTTGCGCGTGTCGGTGAGATCGTGTTTCACGAATACCACCGACCAAAAAAGCAAATTATTACAGTCCACTCGTTGCTGCGCCAAATCAGCAGTTAGCTCTCCTCTGCGCCCACCAGACAATCGTTTGGAGCGTGAGGTAAGCAGCTGACGTGCGCGTTAACTTGATCGCTGTCCGCAGATACTTATACTTTTCGTATAATTGTGTTACAGAAACCAATAACCAAAGGAAAGAGGAGACGCGACCAAATTGAGCGGTCGGCGTCAAGGGAAAATCCCTTTAATTTCTGTTATCTTTTCGAATTATTCACAAGTTGTATTTTTGTTTGACTTTCGTGTATAATAAAAAATTAATTGAAATCTTGTACCAATTTCTCTACCCTGTCTTTTCCCTCGTCCGGAACCACACCGTTAGAGTCCCTTAGTACTCTAACAGTTGTACTTGCCTCTATTATCTGTTGGATGTGCGCTTCTCCTATTCCGATAGCAATATTTTGCTATATGTCCTATTTTTCCACACACAAAGCACCCAACGGGTTCTTTGTAATGAGTGCGCTTGGTCATCCTATAAGCCTTCTCATCTCTACTATTTCCAGCTGCTTGTCCCTGTTTCTCGACCCATTCGACATTCTTCTTCTTCCAAAGCACGTTGAATTTCTTCCAATTTTAGTGATCTTTGAGCCCTAAGCACTGTCGCAACTCTTTCATATTTTGTATGCAGTCCTCTTACCAGGTGGTATGTTACTTCTCTATCGTCAATGGGATACCCTATACTGGCACTTCTTGACGCAATGTTCTTAGCCCTTGTTATGTAATCCTTGACCAATTCCCCATTACTCATTTTTATATTCTTTAATTCTAAACCTATATCTATGCGTAGCTCTATGGTATTTTCCGCATGTATTCTCTTTAATTCTTCCCACAACCTTCTTGCTGATTCTTCTGTTAAAAATAACCCTGCTTGGTCTTCACTTAATGTCGTAATAATTATTCCAAACGCCTCGTCGTTTTTACTTTGCCACGTGGCTCTTCGTTTCCCAGCGACGGATTCAGGGTTTTCATCTTCCGGCGGTTCATCGCTCTCAATTACTTCTCGAAATAGTTTACGAGCTTTTAGCACTGATTTCACTTTTAACGCCCATGTGTGGTAATTCTTCCCATTTAACAACTCAATTTTACTGAGCGAGATACCTGTTCCTTCAGCCATTGTTCCAATCTTTTTTTTTCCCCCTTCTACGCCATGTGCCTTTCCTAACCTCTACAACACTTTTCACTTTTAAAAAATTATACTCAAGCCGAACCACGCTCTGCTACCAATTGTTGTAGAGGTTCAGGCGTAATCAAACACAAACACAAATACAACGAAAGATATATATTATGAAACATAAAGACCATACATATTGAAATTAGAAATCACACACCAAAAGAATTACTCGTAACGTTCCCGGACGGACCGTCAGGCGCGCCACACACACGCACACCAAAAAACCCAACCGGCGTACAGCCACTCCTGCCAACGCACCATGGTTGCCAACTTATTTCTCCAACAAAAACCAATGCAATTTACTTACAGTTGTTGGGGGAGGGGGCCGCTGGTGGTTTTCCCTGCATCACCTGCAGGGAGTTGAGCACTACCTGCAGGGCCTCCAACGGGATCATCTGGCTCTCCGATGCCCGGTTGGGGTTGGCAGGCCTCCGCCTGCGCCTCTCCCTCCGGCTTTCCGGCTTTTTAGTCCGGTGTTCCGGTGTTAGTTCCGGCTGTTTCTGCGTGGTTGCGGGTGCTCGGCGATGCCGCTGCCGCTTCTTGGATTTGGGCTGGTCCTTCGCCGGCTGCCCGGCCGATGCAGGCGCAGCCGGTGCTGGCGCGGCCGCGTGAGTTGCAGCCGCTGGTGCAGCGGCTGCAGTTGTCGCTGCTGGCGTCGGTGGGTTGTCCCTCCGGTGGTCGCAGGACTTCAGCGTCCCGTCCTTGTACCACCGGAGGACGTAGCGTCCTCCGGGAACGAGGCACTTCCACCGGCGAGTGGTGCGTGGGATGTGCGCCGGCACGGCGATTACGCGCCTGCCCACTGGGAAGAGCAGGGGCTCCTGACCTCCCTTGCTGGTCGAGGGCACTGGCGGAGTCTCCTCGGCCTCTAATTTTGTGGGGGGCATTTCTGCCAGCCCTCCCAGCTGGAGGATGCGCTCGAATGCGACATCGAATCCCGGCGAGGATATCGCGCTTTCCGGGGTCGCGGGGCTCAAAGGTGTACTTTCGCCTTCCATGGTTGATCAGGAACTGATCTTTTCCGGCGAAGAGTCGTTCAAATTTCGATTTAGGGGCGTTAGCGGAGGCTAATTGTCCCCGTGCCTAAGCGATAACGAGATTGGTGGATATTACCACCTACTTTCCGTTTTCGCATAGACGACAAGCGGCCGGTGAGAATCAACCGTTCTCACCTTCCGAAATCCTTGTACTTTCGAACTTGAACGGTTTTGTTTAGATCACCTGTTCGACTTCGGTGACCGTTGCCGAAGGTGACTCAAACGAAAACTCAGCCACAGGCAATTTACACAATCGCGTAATTGGTCGTGTATATGTGGATTTGGCTGTACGTACTTTAACTACACGTACATGCCCATCCTTTCCCGGAAATACTTCCTCTATTCTTCCCATTTCCCACTGATTTGGGGGGAGGAGAGGATTCTGTACCAGAACAAGATCGTTCTTTTTTAGGCGTGTATTTTCCGTCTGCCATTTGTAGCGGTTCTGGAGATGCGTGAGATAATCTCTCGTCCAGTGTCTCCAGAGCTGCTCGTGGAATTTTTGCATTGCTCTCCATCTTGTAAGATGCGAAATATTTGCATTTTCCACGGATTCCAGTGGGGGTGCCAACGTAGGCCCTCCGATTAGGAAGTGGGCCGGTGTGAGAGGCGCGTAATCATCTGGGCTGTCACTCAGAGCGGCAATCGGTCGCGAGTTTAAACTGGCTTCGATTTTACAGAGTAACGTCTGTAATTCTTCGCTCGTGGGAGTGAATTCTCCTATGATGCGCTTCAAATGATGCTTCACTGATTTGACACCAGCTTCCTGCATCCCACCGAAGTGAGGGGCACTGGGTGGATTGAATTTCCACTGAATGCCCTTCTGACCGCATTCGTTTTCGCATTTCCGGCGTTTTACACACCATATTTAAATGTTTTCTTAACTCACGATCTGCACCGACGAAATTTGTCCCGTTGTCACTGCGTATGCAGGACGGGATTCCTCGTCGGGCAATGAATCGCTCCAATGCAGCCAAAAATGCACTCGTCGTGTAATCATGGACGAGTTCAATGTGGACAGCCCTTGTAGCGAAGCAGACAAAAACCGCTATGTACGCTTTATGAGCTGTTTTTCCTCGGCCTGCGGAGTCGCGGACTTTGTACGGTCCCGCATAATCAACTCCGCAGTTTACAAAAGCCCGGGCTGGGCGACTTCGTTCCAAGGTCAAATCCTGCATGATCTGCGTGGAGGTTTGTGCCCTCCATCTCACGCATTTCATGCATTGATGAATGACCTTTCGAGCCGTAGTTCTGCAACCGAGGATCCAAAATTGCTGTTTTACCATGGATATCGTCAGCTGCAAGCCCCCATGCAACGTATTTACGTGGCACTGCCGGATTATCATGGTGGACACATGATGTTTTGGCAAAATTATGGGGTGCTTCGCTTCCCATGCCAGCGTCGCATTCTCCAATCGTCCACCTACCCTTAAGACATCGTGTGCGTCTAGGAACGGGTTCAGACGTTTTAATGGAGATTTCGCGGGAATTTCCCTGCGCTTTTTTAAGCACTGGTACTCGCCCGCGAAGTGCGTTCGCTGTATGTAGCGGACGATTTTTTCCTTGGCGAGCTGCAATTCTGAAGCTTCGACAATGTTTGCATCGAACGACCTTCGCTCACCTTGCATCGGTCTTCGTAATCGGAGACAATATGCAGTTACGCGAAGTAGCTTACTCCAGGTTGAGAATCGAAACACGAATTCCCATTCTTTCTCTGGAGTTGCAACGTGGGCGTGCGGAATGCGCTTGCCCTCGCTCGTATCGATGGAATCAGGCGTTTTCGGCCAATTTTCTTCAGATTGTCTCATCCATGCTCGTCCAGAAATCCATAGTTTCGACTGAATGAGTTCCGCTGCTTCGACACCGCGCGAATTCAAATCCGCGGGATTGAAGCGGGTGGGAACGTGTCTCCATTCAGACTTCGGAAGCAAGGTTTGGATTTTTGATACTCGGTTGGCTATCACAACCTTCCAAGTCGAAGCATGTTTTTTCAACCAAGCAAGTGTAATAGTGGAATCTGACCAACAGATTATGCGGTCAATTTTTATGGAAAGTGACCGTCCCACGTGCACTATAAGCTCGGTAAGCAGTACAGCTCCATTCAATTCGAGAATCGGAATCGACTGCGTTTTTATAGGAGCCACCCTCGTTTTTGCCATGATCAAGGTTGTGTAAACTTCCTCGGTCATGGTCGTTACGCGTAAATACGTAACGGCCGAGTACGCTCCGAGCGAAGCATCGCAGAATCCGTGTAATTCCACCGAAACTGTGTCTGCTCCGTAACGGATCCATCTGGGAAATTCTACCTTTTCCAAACTGCTCCAATCCTCGCAAAACGTGTTCCACGTTTTTAACGTATTCGCGGAGACATGATCGTCCCACTGGATTTTTTCCAGCCATTGGGATTGCATCAAAATCTTCGCCCGAATTACGACTGGTGATAACCAGCCGAGCGGATCGTAAAGTTTGGCTATTTCGGAAAACAAAGTTCGTTTTGTAATCGGACCTGCAGCCGGTTGAAACCGTTGCAGGTTGAAATAGAAGTAATCACCCGATGGTATCCATCGCAATCCGAGCACCTTGAGTTCGGAGTCATCGAATAAGGTGAGATCGACAGCGTGGGAGTGAGAATTTTGTGGGATGTTTCGCAGTAATTTCTGTGAATTGCCAGCCCACTTTCTCAATTTAAACCCGCCGCCCTGTAGGAGTTCGCAAACTTGAATACGAATTTTCTCCAATAGGGTCGTATCGGGTGCCCCCATAAATACGTCATCAACGTATATGTCTTTCTCGAGTATCGGAGCGGCGAGAGGAAATCTGTCACCGTCCCGTTTTTTCAGCTCGAGAAGAGTACGCATCGATAAATATGGTGCACACGCCGTTCCGTACGTAACGGTGTTTAATTCGAAGGCTTGAAGCCCTTCGGTTTCGGGCGTGCGCCATAAGATGCACTGAAATCGACGATCCTGCGGGGCGACGAGAATTTGTCGGAACATTTTCTCGATATCGGCCACCAACACGTATTCGTACAGCCTCCATCTCGTCAAAACGGACGTGATGTCGTTCTGCAATTTCGGCCCTACGTGTAGGATGTCGTTTAGGGAGTTTCCACCCACCGTACGGCTCGTCGCATTAAACACGACTCGCAGTTTGGTAGTTGCACTCTCCGTACGGATGACCGCTCGATGCGGAATGTAGAGTCTGGATTTTTCAGAGGGCTCGATACGAGTCATGTGTTCCAACGACTCATACTCCGTGAGAAATTCTTGATATTCTCGTACGAGGGTCTGATCCTTGTCCAATTTCCTTCTCAACCTTGTCAATGCGGAGAGGGCGATACGGAGTGAATCTCCCAATGCACCTTCCGGTTTCGGATGATTAAACGGCAATCGGACAATAAATCTTCCCGTTGCATCCCGTGCGACAGTTTTTTGGAAATGAGCTTCGCACTCTTCCTCTGCTTTTGTAAGCACCGAGGTCGAGGGAATTTCTTCAATTTCCCAGAACCGTCGAATCGCGTGATCCAGCGATTCGAATATGTTGCAATGCAACGTTCGCACGTGACCCTGGGCCTTGCTCGCTGCATCTATCGGTCCGGATAATATCCAGCCAAATGCAGTTTCTTGTGCAATAGGCCCTTCGGGAGATATTCGACGGAATCCCGACCGAATAACTTGAGCGTACAAATCTGCGCCGATCAAAACTTCAATGTTTTGGCCAGACGCGGGCTCGGGATCGGCGAGCTTCAGGTTTCGCAACGCGTCGTTATCGAGCGCGTTTACTGATGGCGAGGCATAATTCGTGATTTTTGTCACGACGTACGCTCTTGCCGAAACCACAGGGGTTACCCCGTTAGCCGCTCCCAGATTCAGCCCTACGCTGTACTTGATTCTTTGGGTCCGACCACCCCCCAAGCCCGATACTGTGGCTGAGGTTTTCTTCCTCGGGAGGTTGAGGTCATTCCTCAATTCCTTATTGGCAATAATGCAATTCATAGACATGTTGTTGGATAGTATTAGGATGAGAATATGTGTTAATAAAACGCATGAACAGTTACCAATTGTTTTGGGACAGGAAATTTCTAGACTAACAGAAATTTTAGCTGTCGCATATCGCATAAATAGAGTAAAGATTCTGTATCATAAAGAGAATATTATTTTATTATTTTCATATTGTTCAAGGTAAGTATTCTGTACTTTGAATTTTCGTTTTTTCTCTCTTCACATTTCCTTTGAATTTCATTAACAATTTCAAGTCACACATTTTTCCTAACCTTAACGTAATTCTGACTGAAAATCTTTGTGGATGTGTCTTGCAAAAGATCACACAAGAATCAGCTGCTCCCATTTGTCCTTTCATTTTTTATAATTAGTGTTGTGGACGGATTAAATCATGGTGGTTCCGGGTCTTATTAATTTACGCATTTTGACGATATATAGATTTATTACCATTTTAGCAAACTGTACATTATCTAAATAAATGTCACCGGTTGATCGACAGCGCGTGCGCTGCCGCGGGCTCGGCGCCTCTCCCCCCAGACCCCGCGAGCACCACGGGTGGATCGAGCAGCTCGGGCTCTCCGGGGAGTGGGGCAAGAGGAGAGCGTCGAGCGATAGCGCGCGTTACAGCTGATCGCACTCAACCGTATTGTTTCGACCAGCGAGTTAGCGTCTGTTTTCTCTAGTGACCTCCTCGTTCCGTTGAGATTAAAACCGCAGAATAAGTTGGCAAAGTTCCGACCACGGAAAACCCATATTATTCGAAACAATTAGCAAATAGAGCTGTTTGTCGACCGGTGGTCTACATATAAGTTCATATCAGAATATCTAGTAACTGACGATAATATCACAACCGATGACGATTCAGATTAAAATTTGTACTATTTCCCTATGTATTTTGTTCTATATGTATACTTTGTTCCTATAGTATTCTTTATATGTTCTTTATATTATTTTATTTTATTCACATATATTTCTATTCGACAGTTATTTCTGTATATATTTTATTCCGTGCATGCATTGTACTGCACATTCTTTGCACAATAAAGTTTATTTATTATTTAATTATGTTTTTACTGCCTGTTTGTAAAAAAGACTATGATCCTTTGAAACATGCATGGATGAATTAAAAAATCTTAAAATTTGATTTTTGTCTTATTTCGTCCAACGCCAACAACGTTCGTTTTATGAAATTCGATTGATTTTTGATTCGTCGGAAAAAATTACTTTTTCCCATTGCCCCATATTCTAGCTTAGAATCTTAATGCAAAACGAAATAACAATATCACGAATGTTTTTGTTTTGAAAAGAAGATTGTAGATAATACTAAGTATTTTGTTTCTCTTGTGTTCTACGTGCAAATATTGAATAAAAGATTATTTAAATTTAAAAAAAAATAAAAAATTTTTAATAAAAACTAATTTAAGTTTTGTTAAACATCGTGTGTTCAGTTTTCCTCATTAAATGAAACTGATTATTCAGGCTTTTGAGAATCGCAAGTAATAAATAATCTCGCACATCCAATGGTCTACACTATCTCCTGATAACCTCTCATGCTCTGATGCTCGATTTTTTAGACAGCTATTTCCCGGAATGCATACTTACGGAGTGTGTGTCACGTTGAATTATTTAAAGAAAAAACGTTAGAGGGAAGACTGTTCTTTCCTCGAACAAGTCTAATAAACTAAAAAGAAGCTTGGAGCAAGTTTTGGCCAAATTAGTAAGTTTAATCATTGCAATTGTATTTATTAATTCAACACCAATATCATTTTTTCTTTCAACGAATAACATTTAAATAAACATATTTTTCAGATCTATAAGTTATATTTGTCTATTTCGAGGCATCGAAGATCAGTCTATCAAATTGTCGAAAATAATCCTCGTTTCTTAAATCGCAAATATTGTTCTTTACCAACATTGATTCCCGTAGAGTACAATATTTGTAGAACTACAAAAATCTAATATTACACGTGCGAATCGCTAAAAAATATTGCAATTTCCCGTACATTCTCGTAACGTAGGTGTTTTAACGTAGGTGCTTTAAAGATCAAAGTAATAGAATTTAAATTTTCATTATTATTTCATGCAGTTACTCTAGAACATTTCTCAAAATTCTTTGATCGTAGAAACAGCTTCTGGCAAATTCCTTTCCTTCATTTCCTCTTCATCCACGGTAACGTTATAGTAACTCCACGGTCGCTGGAACTTCGAAATCTACTGGGAACGAGACACTTTCTTTGCTCTCGATTCTTTTTTTCTTTTCCTTTCATGGCTGACTAGAATTCCCTCGCCAAGCACAACGGACGACTAAGGATCGCATTAAGGTAATTTTCATAGACAAATTAAGTCTCTTTAGACATTTTATGCAGACACTCGTTGAATCGTACGCGCTTAGATTAGTACTTTATAGAACATTTGCCATTCTATTTAATCCTTCGTGGAGCATTTTCAGCTAAAATCAAACTCTCATGTTCGGTGGAAAAAAAAAGAAACAACACGTTGAATCTAAATCGTTTAACGCTGAAAATAGAGGCAATTTTCAAGAATTTTTTCGGTGCAACTATGAAACTTTTTCTGATAAATGTTTCGTGTTTTCGAAAAGTACATTTCTTGAATTACTTTTTGTAAAAATTTCGTATAAAAATATTAATTATTATAACCATAATAGGAACCAGCGTGAGAAGCCTCCAAAAATTTGTTAGAAAGAGACGGACGTGTAATTCTCCACTGCAAGTTGTGAACTATAAGACTAACTAATTGTTAAATTATAAGACAATAACTTCGGTTGCACGTACCGAATTTTTAAAAATAATTATTTATTATAAACTGATGGAACTTTGAAGGAAAAATGTCAAAAAACTCAATATTTCATCGAATACCACGTCGAAACTAATTATTCGATCGAAAATTTCGTACGGGCAACTGAAGAGAATAGTATTAAGAACCACAATATCTTTGTTACGTTCCCCATCATTCTGTCAAATATCCAGTACTTCAACAGTTGACAGTGATAGAGACATCGAAAATTCCAGTGATGAAAATGATGAAGAAGATGAAAACAATTTACCGATATTTGAGTATTTGGACAACGTGGAGTTAGATTCAGACGAATTACAGGTAATAATTTATAACGTTCAGCTACATTTTTCCGTATTTTGTGTCTTAACTACTCATCAAAATGTTATTACAAATATATTTAATTGAAATCTGTGGTAGAAACTTGGTTTATGTTAAAAAAAAAGATTATAAAAGAAAAAGATATAAGTCGCTTTCCAAATCATTATACAGGGTATTCGGTCATTCCTGGAAAAAATTTTAATGGGAGATTCTAGAGGCCAAAATGAAACGAAAATCAAGGATACTAATTTGTTGATTGAGGCTTCGTTAAAAAATTGTAGAAACATTTCCGGCCATACATTAGATTTTCGATAAAGAATTTTTTTCTCGAAAGTACGTAGGATTTCGGGGGTATGTGTATTCACCAAAAATAATTGTAATTGACCCCCGCAACAGAAAATAATTTTTCCAGAACGGTTTCAAATTCTTTTTTTTCACCGAGCACACAATCACTGGATTTTAAAAACTGGGTTTATGTTACGGTCACCAGGTATGCTCTATTTTTACTCTGATCACCTACTTGTACGAGGGATTAAAGCGTTAAAAATTGCTTTCCTGCAATATATATTTTCGCTTTGTCGACCAGATACGCGTTTAGTGTCTTACTACCTCAATATACATAAGAATTTACTTCCCATTCGATAAAGGCTGCTTATATTCTTTTTATTGAAGAAATCTTCTTCCACTATTCAAAGTTATTAAAGGTATGCGATTTTAAAACTAAGTACGTATATTCATTTAACTTAGAAAAAATGAAACAGTAGGGTATTTAAGCAAATATACGACTAGAGAAATGATGGAATAGAAACTGCTCCATAATTGTTTTTGCGTATATTTTAGGTAAAAATATTTTTTAAATATTAATAAACTAATAGTTTTTCATTGTCGTTTAGTTAGAAATTGAAAAAAAAATTAATATAATAAAAAAAAATGTACCGTAGCAGGGCGCGAACGCGTGTCAAAAAGTTTGCAGCAGTCTCGCAGCCAAGCATCTTACTCACTGCACCATCGTTGCTCTTGGAATTAATGCTGATACTTCTGAATACAACGCGCATAGCACGTTTTTTTTCTTGACTTATTTTCGCTTTTCTTCTTGTATACACTGTTTTACTCAACATGGAAATGTTTAAAACCACAGAATATAGTTATCTATTAAAGGGAACACAAAAATTCAAAGTATAAGTTGCTTTTTCACGCGAAAAACGCCGAAAAAATCGGTTTTTCATCTTTGCTACTACGGCGCACCCTGCCAAAAAATCTGAAAAAATTCAGGGACATAATCAATGATAATATGCATTTACAGTAATTATATAAATCTAGTGTCTCGAAAGCTTCAATACGAAATCGGTATTTTTCTGCGTTTTTTTGCGTTTTTAATTTTTCACACCTAGGATTTGAAATCTAAAAATCGGAAAAAATTCTCAAACACGTATCTCAATAGTCGCAATGCACCAGATTTTTTTCATAATTTTCATACTCGATTAAATAGGGGAAATAGGCACAAAATCGCTAATCCGAATTTTCGCAATAACTACCCTTCCGAACATGATAGAGGGTTCAAATTTGGTACAGAATGTTTTTTTCTGATGCTCTATCGATGGATCCATCGTATGTCAAATTTGGTTCAAGGGCACATTTGACCCCCTTATTCGGCTATACCCTTTCATTGAGATCGTTCACTATTGTGGAAGTCATGGACGTTTGAAGATTGGACCATTTTTATGAGGTTTTCCTCACTTCACGGTGTTAAAGAACAACTTTTCGAATATTCTTGGAATGTCTACATATTCTTCACTAAAATACGCGTTATTTGCCTTTTGAAACATTAAAATCCTCCAATCCGTTCAGAAATTATGATATTTTAAACATTTGCATGAAATTTCGAA